CCCTGGATTCCCTGTGTTTCCAGTTCCTATCTGTACCAGTGTACATCCTCTGGTCTAGCTAGACTTGCAAGGTAGAATTCAGATCATGATAGTGGGGGTCAGAGGAAGCATTTAGGAACTAGAGGAAAGTTTTGTTTTTAACGTTGCTACATCGCATTGACTGGCTCGTCTCCTCCCCGAGACCCCTCTGCAGCCACTGTAAAGTTATGTGACTTATGGCAAGTCATTTAGACTTGCTGAATGTCGGCTTATATGTCTGTAAAATAGATGTATTGATCCCTTCTGACTGTCTGACAATGATGTCAGAATCAAATACAACATTTAAGTCTTTGGAAAAGAAAATGAGTTCACAGCTTCAGGTATTATCTAGATACAGAAAGTGGGAGAAGTTGGCAATAATCATGAAAAAGCAAACATAAGGACAGGGTAGAGAAAAGGAAGATTAAAAAAGAGAGAGAAGAGCTTAAAGTCATGCAGTCAAAGAGATTAGGCAGTGGGTGAATTAGAGGGAGTGAGATGTTAGTTTAAGTGTCATTACCACCAGTTTTCACACAAACACCCCACCCATACTTAGGTTCTTGTTTCCATTGTATTCATCCATCTTTGTAACCCTTTATGTATTTGTTAATTAATTGCCATATAAATGCTTAGAGATCAAAACTTTGATTTGCTCCTTATTGTGCCCCAGGCCAAGCTATAATCAAATGTGATTTTGAACTCTTCTTTTTCACAATTATGGAGGGAAAGTGTTTATGAGCGTTAAGAGGAAAGACAGTGAGAGGGAAAGTGGCAAATACAGTGTGAAGAAGGGCTCAGAAGAGAATGAACATTGATGGAAAACATGCAGAGTAACAATGCAAACAGAAGATGCTGTTATCTGCTATAGAGGAATAAAGCAGCTTTCATTTCTTCAGTGGTGATATAATGCCTTATAAACAGTTCTGAGAAAGAATTCTCCAGGCCAAATATCTTTAAAATATTTTTCAAACTATCAAACTTAGCTCACAAAACAGTTCTTTGTGGAATGATATTTAGGCCAAAATTCAAGAGACCTTGGTTCCAGCCTTGGTATTGTTTGATACTTAAATATTGTGATCATGGACAATTCATTTAAATCTTTATGGGCCTCAGATTCTAGTTCACTTGTTGGACTTTGTGTGCTGGTTCACAAATTTTGTAATCTTCAACAAACTTTATTGAGTTGGGTTGTGAGGGGTACACAAATATAAAAGCCCTTGTCATTTTGTGTTTTCCTGTTACTAACAAATTTGTTGGCAAGTCATCAAAAAAGCAAGATTAGTAAATGCCATAAGGATCGTATTATGATTTAAGACACTTATTTCAGATTTTTAAACATAATTAAAATATGCTAAGTATGTCCTCTGTGCTAGACATTAGAGAAATTTGTAACAAAAAAGCAGTCCTTGACCTCAAGAAACTTGTAATTTTTATCCTCTCTGTCTTCAGATTGCTTACCCTAATAGATATACTCTTCTCCACCAGAATAGAGAAGAATTTTCATAATGTATCATTTAAGAATTTTAAAAAGTTTCTCTCATTCCAGAAATATATCTAGTTACATACTTGCTTTCTTAGGAAATAGGTAACCTTTTATTGGGTTCTGCAATCGTTTTCTCTCAATCACTTTTTTAAGGGCAAGAAAAACTTCAAAAATGTCCTATGTTTCAGTGAACCTTGGCTTGTTTCTTTTCTTTTTTTTGGCTTGTTTCTTAGTTATTTGTTTAAAAGAAGAATGGACTTTGATTCAATTTAGTTGATCACAAAGAAAAGGATGCCACTCTTTTTGTTGTTGTTGTTTTTAATCATTTTATTAGGGGCTCATACAACTCTTATCACAATCCATACACACATCAATTGTGTAAAGCGCACCTGTACATTCATTGCCCTCATCATTCTCAAAACATTTCCTCTCCACTTAAACCCCCGGCATTAGGTCCTCATTTCCCCCCTCCCTCCCCTCTCCCCACTCCCTCATGAGCCCTTGATAGTTTATAAATTATTATTTTGTCATATCTTACCCTGTCCGACGTCTCCCTTCACCCACTTTTCTGTTGTCCGTCCCCCAGGGAGGAGGTCACATATAGTTCCTTGTAATCGGTTCCCTCTTTCCAACCCATTCTCCCTCTACCCTCCCAATATCACCACTCACACCACTGGTCCTGAAGGGATCATCCGCCCTGGATTCCCTGTATTTCCAGTTCTTATCTGTACCAGTGTACATCCTCTGGTCTAGCCAGACTTGCAAGGTAAAATTCATATCATGATAGTGGGAGCAGGGAGGAAACATTCAGGAACTAGAGAAAAGTTGTATTTTTCATCGTTGCTACATTGCCCCCTGCCTGGCTGGTCTCCTCCCTGAGACCCCTCTGCAAGGGGGTCTCCAGTGGCCTGCTAATGGGCTTTGGGTCTCCACTCTGCACTCCCCACATCATTCACTATGGTAAGATTTTTTGTTCTGATGATCCCTTCGACACCTCGTGATCGCATAGGCTGGTGTGCTTCTTCCATGTGGGCTTTGTTGCTTCTGAGCCTGATGGCTGCTTGATTACCTTCAAGCCTTTAAGACCCCAGACGCTATACTTTTTGATAGCCGAGCACCATCACTTTCTTCGCCACATTTGCTTATGCACCCATTTGTCTTCAGTGATCCCTTCGACACTTCGTGATCACACAGGCTGATATGTTGTTCCATGTGGGCTTTGTTGCTTCTGAGCTAGATGGCTGCTTGTTTATCTTCAAGCTTTTAAGACCCCAGACGCTATATCTTTTGATAGCCGGGCACCCTTATGAGCCCTTATTCACCCGCTTTGTCTTCAGCGGTTGTGTCAGGAAGGTGAGCATCATAGAATGCCAATTTAATAGAAGAAAGTATTCTTGCATTGAGGGAGTACTTGAGTGGAGGCTCAGTGAAGGATGCCACTCTTAAAGGAGTCATCATATGTAAAGAATCTGATTAGATGATCTGAAGAAGCAGATGATCTAATGATGACTTTTGCTTTGATATGAGTAGCAGGATTACCTTGGCCAGTGTGCTTGCTTTTTTGTAAAGGCCTAGCTATAATAAAAGTTCGGAAGAATAAGAAATCAGCCTTTTGACTTCAGGATTGCCTGGAGTCCTTGCAGTGACTGGGTGTAAAAACCATGTTATGTGCAATTTCGTGTAGAGGGGCCATAAAGATTATAGCCAAGAAAACACTCTAGGGTAACTTTACTTTGTCACATGGAGTTGCTGTGAGTAGGGATAAACTAGATGGCACACAGTAAATAGGAAGGATCAGAGTAATTCAACTGCTTATATTTCAGGTTTTGGATTTTGGGTTATCTTTTTATCTCTGATAATGTATCATTATACTTTAGTTTACTCATAGAATGTTTGTCTTCACCAGAGTTTGAAATTTGACAGCTGTTTGCTCTTATAAAGGGTAGAGATATTTGCTGTAGGAACCTGGCACAATTCACGATTCAAAATGTTTATAGAGAAAGTGATAAATGTCGTAGAAAGGTGGAATGTGTTTACTGTGTATAACCTGAGTGACTGATTTCTAGGATTTTGCTTTCACCAGACTTTTTGTTTTGTTTATACTTTCTCATGAAAATCTTAACATATGTAGTCTTAGGATTTCCCAGCTTGACTGCTAACCTGAAGTTTGACAGTTCAAACTCCCTCAAGCAGCTCTGTATGAGAAAGGCTTGATCTGCTCTCTCAGTAGCATGTCGATATTCTCAATATTTTTGTCTATCTGTAATAGGGCAACATTTTCCTTATTTATGAATTGAGTTCTAACTGATCCTCTTAAAAAGCACACAAAGTTGCCATTGCCACCATCACACTAGTGCTACAATAGGGTCAAATTGAACTAAATTTCATCTAATGGAGAAGGGATTTGTTTTGCTTTATTTTTGAAGCATGGGCTAGCCTAGTTTTGGGAGTTCATTT